TGTAGGTACCAGTGCGTATTTGCAGGACTGACCTTGTACAAGATTCGTCCCAACCTCATCTCTGTATGAGGACTGCTGGATACTCCCATGTACAAAGAACATCCAGAAAGAAGGAAAAATAATAATAATAATCAGTTTCCTGGGCACATTTGGGATGACAAAATGCTAACACAGAAACCTGGACTACAAGACCTCATCACAGGTTACTACAGCCATGTGAATCTGGCCATATGGTGAACATGAGCCAGCAGTGCGCTCTGGCAGCTCGAAAGGCAAATGGGATCCTGGGCTCCATCAGGAGAGGGGTGGTCAGCAGGGACAGGGAGGTGATCGTCCCTCTCTACTCGGCTCTTGTGAGGCCCCATCTGGAGTACTGTGTCCAGGTGTGGAGCCCTCAGTACAAGAAAGACATTGAGATTTTGGAAAGGGTCCAGAGGAGGGCGACTAAGATGATCAGGGGGCTGGAGCACCTCCCCTATGAGGACAGGCTGAGGGAGTTGGGCTTGTTCAGCCTGGAGAAGAGAAGGCTGCGTGGTGACCTCATTGCAGCCTATCAATACCTGAAGGGAACCTACACCCACGAGGGGAGTAAACTCTTCAAAAGGGCTGACAACAGCAGGACTAGGGGAAATGGATCCAAGTTGAAGGAGGGAAGATTTAGGTTGGATGTTAGGGGGAAGTTCTATACAAGGAGAGTGGTTAGGCCCTGGAACGGGCTGCCCAGGGAGGTTGTGGATGCCCCGTCCTTGGATGTGTTTAAGGCCAGGTTGGACAGGTCCTGGGCAACCTGATCTGAATGTGTGTGTTTGGTGGCCCTGCTAGGCAGGGGGGTTGGAACTACATGATCCTTGAGGTCCCTTCCAACCCGGGTGATTCTGTGATTCTGTGATATGGTCTTGCACTGGTGTGCCCACTTTTGGGAAATGTGATTCCTTCCCATATGGATCCCCACCCCCCCGAAAAAATCCTCCCTACTATTTTCAGGGGATTGAGGGAAGAATGAAATGATTTAGCAGGCTTGTTTTCACAGGGATATTTTTCCTTGTGCGGTAGGCACCGTCACCAGGCTGTTCTGTGCGTGCTGCCATGTGCCAGAGCATAATTACCTTTCACATGCATCAGCCTTTGGCTAATGTGCTTTTTATGGCAACCAGGAGAGCTGGATTTGGTGAGTCTCAAAAGTGCACCTGGTGCTTTATGGCTCGAAATCGCTGCGCTCCTCTGAGTCATGGAAGTTTGTGTATCCATCCCTTTTCATGTCGGATTGCTGAAGAATGGTGTGCAAAGAAAAGCTTACACCAAGTCAGAGTTAATCAGTTGGATGTTACGAGCTTGCCTGGTGGGCTTCAGGTCCGTGTGGGATGGGATCAGTAATGAAAAAAGAGCAGCAGATTAAGCTGTTGAACTCCAAGTCCAAAGCCGAGGTCCTAAACTCAGATCCCAGCACGTAACAAAGGTGTGTGAACATCTGAGTGCCGCAGGGGTGGACGGAAGCTTTTGGCATCAGTGCTCCCCGAAGTGGGAATTGGGGTCACTTGGCATCACCTGGCCATTCCCACCCATTTCCCCGTGCTGGGAGCTGCTGGGGAGCAGCTGCCACCTCACCTCGACGTTACGGGGCTGGGAATAATGGCTGTGCTGCAGGGAGCAGCGAAGGTCTGAGCCTTGGCTATGGAAAGGAGAGAAATAATATCAAAGGAAATCACATAAGTGGAAAAAGAGCCCCCTGGGGCAGCCCGGGCAGCAGCAGGTCTGTCTTGGTCATGTTTTGAGAGAAGTGAGAGGTCAGCCAAGCCTGATAAAGAGGTAATACAGAAAAATCCGTCGCTGAGCCTTAGGGGACTTGGAGATGCTCTTCACATCAAAATAAACGAATTTGGATGTTGCCCTGCCGAGGAAACAGCAATGATTAAGTCTTGCAGAACCAACAGCCCCTCTGGAAGGACCCGAAGCCCCGCAATGCCCACGACAGCCCCGCAATGCCCACGACAGGCTGCGGGGCCCGATGCTGCCCTTCCCAAGCAGAGTATAGGATCAGGGCTTTGCTTCGTTAAATCCCACTATCGGGGGCCGCTCCGGCCGGGACGGGGACTTCTCGCAGCCGCGCTGATGTATTTGTCTCCTTGTAGCCGGCAAATAGAAGGGGGGGAAGGCAAGGAACGAGCTTTGCCTCGTGGGTAAAAAAAAACCGTTTGGCAGCCGGTGGGGGTTCAGAGATGACCCCGGGAGGGGGGACCGGGAGCTCCGGGGACACTGCGAGGAGCAACCTGCCCACGGGGGCTGCGTTAGAGCAGGAGGGAAAGGCAGTGAAAGTCTATTAATAGGAGAAAATAAACGCTGTTCGGCGTGTTTCGGCTGTTCCAGTTTCCCTATTGAGACTTAAGGACCGGGCAGCTTCCGATCCCAGGCGCTTCTGATAGCACAGCTTAACGTGAGACGCGAGAGAATTAGGATTAAAACAGGAGACGGCAAGGGCCGTGCGTCACGAAATATTTCAGAGAAGAGAGCAGAAAAAATTAATAATCTGCCGAAGGAAAAGAAGGCACAAGGCGTAAGGCATCCCTCCCACCGCTGCACGCGTGGGGACCGTGCAGTGCTGACGACCTTTTTGGGGTCGATTTGTAGGTTTGCTGTTTCGGGACACCGCAGCGTTCCGCACTCGGCGCAATGAGCGCCTGTAGGGCCGGCTGGGTGCCCGGGATCCCAGCGGCTGCTTCGTATCAGCCCAGGCTTTCCCTTTCCTAATTTCAAGACGGCTGCTTTTTAGGTACTTTTTCTCGTTTTAATTTGGTTTCCGCGGTCGATTTTGCGTGACAAAAGCGAAGAGGCACCGGGGCTCCTCCGCCGTTTTTGCGGGCGGTGCCAAACTCGGGGCGCGGCGCTTTGGGGGCAGCCGAGAGCCGCGGCGGTGCCCACTGTGCCCGGTGCTCCCTGTGCCCTGTGCCCACTGTGCCTGGTGCTCTCCGTGCCAGCCGTCCCCTCTCGTTTCGCCGTTCACAGCCCTCCCCCGCAGAGTAACAACGCGCAGCTCCCGGCGGTTCATTTCTGCCTCGGATCGCACCGAGTGGAAATTCAATCGCCCGTTGTGTGTGTGGTCGAAATCTCTGGCAGCTGCTTCGGAATTTTTTATGACACTTTCGTTTATGTAGGGGAGGCATAACTATTATTTTACTTAATAAAAATGGAAATGGGCTCAGGTCCTTTGCCTCCCTCCCCGCTCCCTTCCATTTGTTCTCCCCACCGCATTTCCGCGGGGCTGGGAGGAGAGATGCCGCATCCCTAAAGCATTTCGCAGCGTCAGATGGGGAGAACGATCATCGATGTACGTACGTGCATGTAGGAGAGGGGCGAGTTTAAGTTGCTAAACGGAGCGTTAGAGCGGTTTAAAAGCGAAAGAACCCAGAAAAGCTCTCTCAGGACACACTCCCACCTTCCAGACAAGCGTTCAGCCCCGTTCTGCACCGACTTCTCCTTCCGTTCGATGAATCCTTCCCGAGCACAGCGCTGACTGCGAGGGCGGAGGATGCGCTCGGCTCCGTGCGGGGATGCTGTACCCAGCCGGTACCGGCCCGATGCACGGAGTCGTTAGGGTTTGATCGTTAGGATTTGAGTAATTATTGTGAGCGGCATTTGGAAGCGGGGCCGCGCAGCTGTTTGGCCCGGCTCCCCGGTATTAGTGCTGGAGATTTTATCACCAAATGCTCGCACCTGTTAACAGCAGAGAGCGGCAATCCATCACCACAGATTCTCACACTGCTGAGCGCAGCTTTTGGAAGGGGGCACCGCCAGCCCCCCGGATGCGAGGGCTGAAATTGCAGTTGGTGGAACAGGGGATCCCGGACCCCTCGGGTTCCCAAGTGGTACCCGAAGGATTTTGGAACATCCTTTTTCCACTATCCCCTTCCTCTCAAACCGGCATCCCACCTCCCGGGGGAGAGGGAGCCCTCGGGAACGCAGAGGCTCGAAAGGAAGACCCGTGTGAGCGCGGCTCGCAGTACAGATGGGGAAAATGCGGTGGTCTCGTCTGTGTCACCAGCCCCGCGTCGGGGTGGCCACAACGCTTTGCCCTGGGAAGGGGCACGGATCTGCAGCTTTGGGAAGAGGGCTGAGTCGCCACAGGTCCCAGCTCCGCTCCTTGCACCTGCCGGGCGGCAGAGGCCCCGCGGGAGCCCTCGGGAAGGCGGCTTTCCAGGCAGGGTGCTGTCTCTCGGTGACGCGTCGGTGACGTGAGCACGTGGAGAAAGGGAGGACTGGGACCCCAAAATCACTCCCTTCGTCCCCCCCCACCCCCCCGACGCACACACACCGGGAGGTCTGAGGGCTCAGCCCCGGGGGCAGAGGGCTCCCTGCAGCCGTAGAGAGGGGGGAGAGGGGGAGGCGGGAAGGAAGGCTTGGGGGAGCGGGCAGCACCTTTCCTCGAAAGCATCCCCGAGGGGACCCGTGCAGGGCTGGGAGCCCCTCTCGGTCCCCGCTGGGGCTGCGGTGGGCTCCACGTGACGCCGGAACGGCCGTATAAAGGCCCGAGGAGAGCTCGTAGGAGGCGCAGAGTGGAAGCGTTGGTCCCCTGTCCCAGCTGGGGAGGGGGGGGGGGGGGGGTAAGCGCCTTCCAACCCCTGCACTCCTCCCTCCATCTTCCCCCGTCTCTCCCTCCCCCCCACCCCCCCACTAAAAGCGGCCGCCGCCCCCACGGCATCAGATATATATTTTTATCTCCCCCCCCCCTTCCTTTTATTATCATTATTACTATTATTTGTCACTGCCGCTCTCCAGCTCCCTGCCCAGCCTCCGCGCTCCCCGTCTCTCCGCCCCCGCCCCGCGCCCCCTCCGCCGCCCCTCCCTCCGCAGCCACCACCCCGCAGCCCCGCCGAGGCTCCGCCAGCAGCGAACGGGGCGCGGAGCGGCGGCTCCGGGCCGCGGAGTCCCAGCGGCGGCCGCAGCCCCTCCGACACGGCGCGGCCCCGGGCCCATCCCGGGAACCGCCGCTAGGTGGGGGGGGGAGCCCGGCCCCGGCCGCCCCGGCCGCACAACAATGACTTTGGGCAGCAGCGGCGGAGGCGGCTGCGGGATCATGTCCGAGCGCTCCCCGGAGGAAGAACCGCTCTCCGAGGTGGAGGACGCGGATATCGACGTGGTGGGCCCGCCCCAGGACGGGGGCAAATACAGCGAGGACGAGGAGGAGGACGACGACGACGAAGAGGACGACGAGGAGGAGGGCGGCGGGCCGCTGGGGCTCGCCCTGCAGCGGAGCGGGGCCGCCAAGGCGCGCATGGGGGGGTCTCCGGAGCGGCTCTCCCCCGCCGGCGGCTCGGAGCCCGCGTGCGCCCGCGGGGCCGCACCCGGGGAAAAGGCGCCCGCGGGTGGCGGCGGCGGCGGGGGAAAGAACCCGCTGGTGAAGCCGCCCTACTCCTACATCGCTCTCATCACTATGGCCATCCTGCAGAGCCCCAAGAAGCGGCTGACGCTGAGCGAGATCTGCGAGTTCATCAGCGGCCGCTTCCCCTACTACCGGGAGAAGTTCCCAGCGTGGCAGAACAGCATCCGCCACAATCTCTCCCTCAACGACTGCTTCGTCAAGATCCCCCGGGAGCCCGGCAACCCGGGCAAGGGCAACTACTGGACGCTGGACCCCGAGTCCGCCGACATGTTCGACAACGGCAGCTTCCTGCGCCGGAGGAAGCGCTTCAAGCGGCAGCAGCAGCTGCACCCGCCGCACCCCGAGCTGCTGCTGCGGGCCGGGGCCGCCGATCCCGCCGCCTTCCTGCCCGGCTTCGCCTACGGACCCTACGGCTACAACTACGGCCTGCAGCTGCAGGGCTACCCCCCGGCCCCCCCGCACCACCACCACCACCACCACCCCGGCGGCGGGGGCTCCGCGGGCGCTTTCCCCTTCTCGGCGCCTCACTGCCCGTTACCGGCTCCGCCGCCTCCCTCCGCCGCCTCCGTCTTCTCGGCCGCCTCCGGGCTGCCCTCGTTCCTGGGCGGCGAGCTGAACTGCAGGAAGTCCTTCTACCACCCCCAGCTCAGCCCTACGGCCCTCCCCGCCGCCCTCCTCCAGACCCTCAAGCCGGACCCCACGCCCGCGGGCAGCGGAGGCACCACCACCACCAACCCCTCCCGGCCCTCTTTTTCCATAGACAACATCATCGGGGGGGCCGTGCCCCCGCCGCCCAGCACCAACCCCAGCGCTGCGCCCGCAGCGCCCTACCCCTCGGGCCAGGCGGGCCCCCCGGCGCAGCTCCTGGCCGTGCTCAGCCCCGCCTTGGCCCCATCGCAGCCCCACGGCGGCCTGGCCCACGAGCCGCTCCTGCAGCCCGCGCAGAACTTTTCCGCTAAAATCACAAACGTGGGCAGCTGTCATTTTTAAAGCGTGCTGCGGAGAGGAGAGGCAAAGGGAGAGGGGGTGAGGGGTGGAGGGGTGGAAGGGAGAGTCGCGAACCAAACTGCCCCTTCCCAGCTCTCCCCCAAATCTCCCCTTCCCTCTCCCCGCTCTCTTCTTCCTCCCCTCAATCTCCTCCCGTTGTGTTTGAAGGTAGGATTTTTTTTTTTTTTTTTTAATTTTATTTCCAGGCTCTGTGGCATCCGGATCTGTTTGTGTCTCTTTCGTAGGCGAAAAAGAAAAATAATTATCCGGGGGGGGGGGGGGGGGGGAAATAACCGTATTTCACCCTGCCAGCACCAAAGCTTATTTATAATGAGGCCCTAACGTAACCAACGTTTGTGGGAGTGGGGGGGCAGAGAAGGGTCTGAGGGTCCGAAATATTTTCTTTGAGAGGTTCGGGAGTCTCAAAATCACAGCAGAGAA